ACTACCCGTATAGTATACTTACAAGTGAACCACTTTTCCCTACATGTAGTAGATTTGCAAGCACCAATCATTTTTATCTTATTACAATTTAAGCATTCTATGAACACTTCCCAAATATAGCTAGATGAATTTAATAACACTACTACTCACCGAGCAAAATAACTTCGTTCACCTCCGCAAAATTCACAAACAGTTATACTGATATACGTTACAAAATGTTAAGTAAACTTGTTATATTTAGAAACTATACAATAACCCCCGAAATTTTCAAGAAAAAAGAAATGAAAAAGGAAAGGGAAATGGTCTGATTTTATTTTATTTTTATTTTTTTAATTGAGATTTATTTGTTTTTGTTTTTATTTTCAGGTTAGTTTCATACGCAGCTGCGATAATTTGACCTCATTTTGAATTGGATAAATTAACTTTAGTTGAAGTCAAACATTCAAATTTTGTGACATTCACTAATGTCTAACGTGTCTTTTAAATATTGACGTAAATTCCATTGTAAGTGACTTGATGTCAAAACAATATTTTCCCAATGCTAGTTTTGGCACGCGCTTTAAACATGTATATTGATTTTTTGAGTATTGTGACCTCGTAGTTTTAGCTATAAATTTCGGAAAAGAAGAAGATAGCTACGAAAATTATGACATTGTTTACAATTGAATGTTACAATTTTCAGTAAAATGAGGGTTATCATTTATTCATTTAAAGAACTAGAACTTAAAAATGGTAAGAGTGATTAATTGGGAGGTCAATACAAATGACGAACGTGAGGTCCAACATTTTTAAGACAGAAAACACAGGACGTGATTTAACTATAGGTTATGCTCTGATTAAATTATTGTAAGCATAATTAGACTTGATAAAAATGTAAGTGTTATGCCTTAAGTCTAATCAATTTAAGTTGTAAACAATTTTAATATGTTTAATGTATTTATTTTGACAAGATCTATTATTTATTTGAATCATTATTCTAATAAATAATATTAAATAATAGAGTTCGTAAATTCAAATTTTGGTGATTTGTCATTCACAAAGAGTTGTGATTGTGAGATACAAATTACGTATGATTGAATATTAAATCATCCATGGTCGTAAGTAATGACAAGAAACGAATATTGTTATTACGGATAGACTATCACGTGTGACATTTTTTACTTGTGAAGTAAGTAATTGATTTCACAAACTAAAGTGTGGTAACACTGAAATGAACATGTGGATGTTTTATTAAGGAACAAAAGATTGGAGACCTGTTGGGAGATTTCACATGTATAACTATTTGAGTGTCAGTAATTAATTTATAACGTTCGGTAGTGAAATTGATCTTTTGACTTGAGGTCGTCATAGTGCTTTATATGAAGGCAGTCATACTTTGGTAGTGTTGGATTTTGCTATACCAAAGGTCACTAATACGATGTCGTTCGAATATATTAAGAATCATATGAAGGTTGTGTAAGATCAGTAAAAGATTCGTCACTCTTAAATAGCAAGAAATAATAACCTACATTTCGTTCAGTTAATTTGATAACGAAATCCTTGGCCAAGATGTACTCATAAGTCGAAAAAGAGTTTTCGACTTATATTGGCTTAATAGTGGAATGAATGATATGATCGATAATTGAGATTGACACATATTCATATCTCGTAATTGATCGAATCTTATTGACGAATGGATTATAGTTTCACGGTAAATGAAAAAAGTTTGATTTTGTCATATCCCATGATATTTTTCGTCACATGTATTGCTCCGAACATTGTTAGATATCGATCTGCGATGATGTATGTGAATTAGTGATAAATTAGAAGCGACGTTTTAGTTTATCCGTTTTGATTACATCAAAATAAAAATTCACATCATTAGGTATCGTGATTGAGAACTTAATGAGTCGCACACAAAGAAGAAATAGAAGAATGAGATTTACCAATTATTAATTAACAAGTATTGGATAATTAATTAATTGGGTTGTTTATTAATATAGACCCAAATTAATTAATTAAATTAATTAATTCATGGACCAAATTTAATTAATTTGATTAATTAAATATTGGACCGGGTTAAGATAAAGGTCAAGCCCGTTTTGGCTTATATAAATAAGCTGATTGGATTTGAAAATTGTAGAGAAAAATTTTATTATTCTTGCTAGTACAAGAAAAGTAAAAACATTGGTTCTCTCAATCTTGTTTTCTGTGTGAATTTTCATTAGAGGCTAGACAATTGGACAAATGTGGGTTGCAGATCGAGATTGTTGTAACAAAAGAAAAGCAATGGAGTTTGAATAATTCAATAAAGGTATAATTTCTATTACAATTTCTATGCACAAAACAGATTCTTGGTGGGAATTGAAATATTGTTTAAATTCCGCAGTGCATGATTAAGTAAGTTTCCAACAATAAAAATGTCGATGCTTTCATGAATCATATCTATGTTGAGATACGTGGAAAACTCTGGATTGCTAGACCACGGACCTGACAGCCGAATCCCTTGAATTCTCTCAACCTCATGATCGTAGTTCTCAATTTTCTTACTATGAAACGGTTTGAAAGTCTTTTCTGCCGGACGACTTGTAGGAGGTGAGAAGGGCCCTTACTCCGTCCCACCTTGTTGACTATGCATACATAAGCAAAAATTTTCAAAAATGAAGTGTTGTTTTGGAAAGGCATTTTCAACAAGTTATTAAACAAAATTATCTTAAATAGACATATTTAAATTAAGTTCTATTAGTCTACAAACAAGTGACTTTGTAAACAAGTTAGCAATCTCCATGGAGAAGGTAGCAAAAGGTAACAAGAGAATGCTACACTAATGATGATATTGAGTAACATGACAATCAATATCAATATATTTGGTCCTCTTGTGGAATATTGAATTGCACACAATCTAGATAGTCTTATTCTCACGATACAATTGAGTAAGTCGACGAAGAAATACACACATATCTGTAAGCCGCCAGCATAACCAAAGGATCTTACAAATAATAGAAGATATGTCATGATACGCCACTTCTATGAGAGATCTAGAAAACAATATCATGCTTCTTGCTCTTCTAAGAAATAAAGGAGTCACTATGAAAGATATAAAAGTCAGTAGTAGATCGGTGATTTATAGGACTACTAGCCTAATCAGCACCAAAAATGTTGCAACTCTAATTATGAAGTAGACGAAAGTAAAATACTCTAAAACTTGGTATCTTGAAGATACCCCAAAATACAAAAAACAGTAGCACAATAAACAGTCGTAAGCAAGGTAACAAACCAAGTAACTATTTAAATAGCACGCGAAATATGTGGATGGATTGATGGTGAGATAACCAAGTTACCAACAACAATATGATATAAATTAAGGTTCAACAATGGAGATCCATCAGAAAGAGAACATTGATCATTAAGATCAACAAGTGTATCAATAAAAAGTAATGACTTTTATCACAATTTCTATATAAATGCAAAGGCGATTCCTGGTGGAAATTGAAAATTATTTTATTTTTCGATGCGCATGATAAGTAGATTCCCAACACTTAAAACATTTGATTCAGCATCAGATTGGGATCTTTCATTTCGAAAATGTCAATTCTCATCGCAATCAGAGATGCTCACTGAACGGCAAAATTAGATCATCACTCTAAAGAATCCGGAAGGTCTGAGATTGTGCTAAAATCATCAATCCCAGTTTCTGGAAACTTTTTTTATAATGTGGAGAGACAAACCAGGGTCTGGATTTTTCAGGAGAGGAAGCAACTTATTGTGGGTTTCTGCTGCATTTATATAGATAGTAACTAGGAAGGAATAAATTACCAATACATACACTCTTTATCTCATCATAAAAAAATGCACAAAATGGTAAATTTCCATGGTGGCAAATGCGATGAAGTGAACAAAGATCCCTCTGGATTAGATCTTTGTACTTTTGTCTCTGCAAGACTTTATTCTCAATGCAATTTGTCATTAAAAAAAATAATAAAATTGATCAATTACTTGAACAAGTGTAAGAAATCAAAAACAGATCAAAACTTTGGAGATTAAACAAAGTGATAGATGTGTATGAATGAGGTAGAAGAGAAAGGATTATGTTTATGTTTGTGGTGGAATAATAATTTATTTTATCAAAAAGTATATTAAAACTCTAATTAAGTAATTTTATTTAAGGTTATTTAAGTAAATAAAAAAATGTGGTGCACTTAATAAATTTTGTAGTGGTAATATAATTACCCTTGAAATTACGCGAATGTTGATTGAGTTTCGTGAACGTACCTTTGCTCGAGCTCTTGGGTCCTTCGATCAGGATGTTACTTGCTTTTGTATCATGGTGCACGTGTTGAGCTTTCGTGTGGTCATGGATATATTCGATACCCCTTGCAGGATCAAGAGCAATCTGTGTTACTTGCATCCCATGACAGGCTGGTGGCTTAATTCATGATATCTGGTAAGAATTTTCTCCTGATTCATAGTTTCAAAGGAAAAAAAATAAAATACCATCTTATTATAAGGACGCGGTAAGTATAATATTGATTGCTCGACCGAGTGAATTGTTCACTCTCCTTGGTACTTCCAAACTTCAGTTTTAACTTCTGTTAAGCAATTAAGCAGATCTTACTGCACTAAAAACTATAAGCACCATACATTTAATTAGCTTTCATAAATGGATCATGGAGATGATCATTGAGATAACCATTTGGAATATACTCATAAACCAAGTAGCGGTCATCGTAACCCATCAGCTCTACCTACATTGTGGGCTCGACCGGATAAATTATTGAGCCTCTTTCACATTTCAAAAATAAAATGTAAAATTCAGTTCTTGGAAAACAATACTTTCCACATTGATGTGATGTATCTTGGACAACACTTTTGATTTCAGCCATAAAACCTTTGAATTTGTTAGATCTCATCTTCTTGATGGCAGCTTCTTGATGTCACAGTAACAGCTACAAATTTAAATTTCAAATAGTTGATACATTTAACTCAGAGAAATTAAAATTGAATATCAAACGCACAAATAGAATACCTGATATCCCAGTTCCCCAAAATATACTCTTCCGCATCCACCTTGCCCTCGTTTTCTTGTTTCATCAAAGTTACTTGTAGCCTCATCAATCTCCTCAACAGTGTACACCGTCGCTCTTTTCGATTCAAAAACTTGGATTTCTTGGTTCTTAATGTAAGTTGTTATGATTTCATGATCCGGTTGAAAAACTATCATCTTCAGTTGAAAAACTATCATATTAAAGTTTAAGCTTTTAAATTGGAATGGTTAATCGTGGTATTAGGAGCAAATAAAAGTTGTGGTAGTTCTAACCGACTTCCATTCATGAAGATTATGCATTTTTTAGGCAACTGTTGGACTTGCACATGAAGGGGGTGTTTATTGTTTCTCTAATAACTTAAGCTTTTAGATGAGGTCGCTACAACATCAACCATGGGAAGGGTAAAATAGAATAGATTAGCTACTTCACATATCAGGATAATAGAGATTTTGCAATAGAAATTAAATCAGTATTACTGGAATTTGACAATTTTGGTTTTCACTGAGATATTTGTCACCTTTCTTTGGCGTAGAAATTCTATTCTTTTCCATTGGCAAGCATAAGAGCAATCTGTTATCTATATAGGATGAATTCAGACCCAAATACAGGTTCAACTTCTCTTTCTCATCAACTTGAGCAGAAAGTAGAGTTGCAAAAGTCGATACAGTATCATGTGTCTGAACTGTATAAGTTACCACAATTTGCGAGTCTTTTTCCTCACAACCACATAAAAGATGTATATTTAGGACTACTCTGCAGTCAAGTTTGTATCTTCAGCCGCAACCTGCCTTACTTGCCTTACAGAATATCTGATTTGAAATGTCATAGAAAGTATTACAGAATGTTTTCGTCTGTAAACTGTATCGTGAAAGTATCCAACAGTGCCACCAACATTCTTTCAAGAATAGTTGATTGGTACTAGGTTGTCTTGTCAGTTAACATAATATATTTGCTTGATTTCTGTTATATTAGCAGAATAAAAGGATGCAATCTAATCTTTCTGAAATACGTTGTGCTGATAGAGAAGAACTTTACATGACGACGACCGATGGGGATTTGGAAGAGCAAGTAAAAGGATTAATTTGAGTTGAATTAGAAGCCGAACCTCTCGTAAATAGCCTACAAAATTGTGTGGATAAAAAGTATATTTGACTAGCTTAAATTATAACATGCATGAAGGAACATTGGGTTCAACAACCACCAAATTCAAAAGCCAGTTACATTTCTATGATTTTCAACCATTGACAAAATTTAGACATTTTCTAGTATCTGCCATTTTTTCGAAAGCCTAAAAAGTAGCCTGAAATCCCTGCCAGCCTTCCATTCAATCTTTGCATAGAGCCCTCTCTCTTTGCAAAAATGAATGTCTCGCACAAAAAATTATTGCGAGAACATGGCAAGCAGAGGAAGTATTCATCTATCAATAATATTCTTTTTTTTAGCAATCCTCCCTCTGCTTGCCTCTGCATTCCCTGGATTCTTCCATGTTGAAAATTCCAATTCTCCCTTTCAAAATGATGGTGTAAAAACCTTCTTTGGAGCACCAATTTTCAGGGGCAAGGGTGAAAACGAAGAGGCTTCTCTTCCATCAGATGATGTTGGAGAACAAGAGAAGCCCTTGAAGTATGAATCCAGGACAAAGGAGGAAACTGGAGTAAAGGGAACCACGAAGGGCAGATTGAGGGAAGGATTCTATGAGAAGACTTGCCCTCAAGCTGAGCTGATCGTGAACGACGTTATGAACAAGGCTTTCCAGAATGATTCTGGCCTGGCTGCTGCTCTCCTTCGCCTATTTTTCCATGATTGTTTTGTCACGGTAAGTCGCTCATGTCTATACCGTAATTGCTCACTGACCGATGTTTGAGAAAAGTACAAGAAATCATTTTTGTCATCAGATTTTTTTACTTCTATGACATGTTTGTTAGAGTTGACCAGACAACATTGATAGTACTAAAAGAAAAAGAAGTTAAAATCTTGTTTGTTAAAATACCCACATGAATGGGATACAACGAAACATGCATGCAGGGTTGTGATGCCTCGATCCTCTTGGACAAAACACCTGGCGGCGAGGAAGTCGAGAAGGCATCAGGTGCCAATGGCATGTTCATACGAGGCTTCGAAGCAATCGACGAAATTAAAAGGAAGCTAGAGTACGAATGCCCCAGCGTCGTTTCTTGTGCAGACATACTAGCATTTGCAAACCGCGAATCCCTAGTATTCTCAGGCCTCCCATCCTATAATGTGGCTGCAGGTCGCCGTGACAGCCTAACTTCCCTCGCCAAAAACGTCGAGAACAACGTCCCACTTCCTGATCAAACTACTCAGCAAATAACGGCCCTGTTCAATAGAAAAGGCCTAACAGTTGAAGAAATGGTTGTTCTGACAGGAGCGCATTCTATTGGCATTGCACATTGTGCCAACATTATCGAGAGATTTTGGGATCAACAAAAGCGAAAAGAAATTGAACCAGGCTATCACGGGGCAGTCGGGTTCTCTTGCGGGAATGACCCGGAACAAATATTTCCATTCGATACACTCACAGAATACAAAATGGATTCACATTTCTACAAGCAAGTGTTGAATAAGAGAGCCTTGATTGAATCAGATCAAAATATGGCCCGTGATCCTCAAACTGCCAATATTATGAAAACGTTGGCTGATGATCAAGAGGGATGGTTCGGTAAATTCATCAAAACCATCATTAAATTGGGAGAGATTGAGGTTCTTACAGGGGATCAGGGAGAAATCAGAAAACAATGTCGGGATTTCAATCAAAACACACGCGGCATTTTTGGATTAGGGTAATCTATTTGTTTACCTCTTTTGTTCAATAATTTGTGAACGTTTCATTCAAAGAGAACAATTCGTAAGAGGAAAACTCTGAATCATACCCTGAATAAAATATTGATTCTGCTTAAAAGTAAGTTTGACTTACTTTTGAGTTACTTATTTGGTGAGACGTGATTTTTACTGTTATCTTTTTTTTATCAAGACTTATTTTAGAAAACTTAAATATTAATAAAAACTCTTATAGTACTCTTTAGAAGTTACGTTATTTATAACTGAAATGCCAAATTTTGGATGATAATTATGACTAGCTACAACTTCCGTGGTGTCCTAACGGCAGGTCGTGATGGCCCTGCTGCCCCGCACCCCGCCTCGCCCTTGCCCTGTTTCTTGCCCCGCTTTTTTTTTTTTTTTTTTCGAGTTCAATAAAATACAGATAATATTCAAGTTAATAAAGTTAATATCCAAAATAAACACTACAAATCTTAAATATAATGGCCACTATTGGTACACAACATTGATTATTAGGATGAACAAGGTTTTTTATATTTTTTTCCTTTGATATTGTCACAAATGTTGTAACCCCACACACTTTAATTTATTACAATAACGGTTTGAAAGTCTTTTCTGCCGGACGACTTGTAGGAGGTGAGAAGGGCCCTTACTCCGTCCCACCTTGTTGACTATGCATACATAAGCAAAAATTTTCAAAAATGAAGTGTTGTTTTGGAAAGGCATTTTCAACAAGTTATTAAACAAAATTATCTTAAATAGACATATTTAAATTAAGTTCTATTAGTCTACAAACAAGTGACTTTGTAAACAAGTTAGCAATCTCCATGGAGAAGGTAGCAAAAGGTAACAAGAGAATGCTACACTAATGATGATATTGAGTAACATGACAATCAATATCAATATATTTGGTCCTCTTGTGGAATATTGAATTGCACACAATCTAGATAGTCTTATTCTCACGATACAATTGAGTAAGTCGACGAAGAAATACACACATATCTGTAAGCCGCCAGCATAACCAAAGGATCTTACAAATAATAGAAGATATGTCATGATACGCCACTTCTATGAGAGATCTAGAAAACAATATCATGCTTCTTGCTCTTCTAAGAAATAAAGGAATCACTATGAAAGATATAAAAGTCAGTAGTAGATCGGTGATTTATAGGACTACTAGCCTAATCAGCACCAAAAATGTTGCAACTCTAATTATGAAGTAGACGAAAGTAAAATACTCTAAAACTTGGTATCTTGAAGATACCCCAAAATACAAAAAACAGTAGCACAATAAACAGTCGTAAGCAAGGTAACAAACCAAGTAACTATTTAAATAGCACGCGAAATATGTGGATGGATTGATGGTGAGATAACCAAGTTACCAACAACAATATGATATAAATTAAGGTTCAACAATGGAGATCCATCAGAAAGAGAACATTGATCATTAAGATCAACAAGTGTATCAATCGTCATATTATTTGTAAGAAGAACATACTTAAATATATCAACTATGTACCTAGATTGAGGAAAAAGATAATCTTTTGTAGATGATGCTATCACTACAAGGAATTTATACTTTTCCTACAAATTTTCTATTGACAAATTGAAATTTATACGCAAAGTTCACTTTTTCCCACAAAAAGATGTCTTGTACGGCTATGATTTGTTTCAAACTTTTAGACTTGTGCCTACAAAATATTTTTCTTTTCTCGACCAAAAAAAAAATTATGGGCAAGATATATCTTTTCCAGAAAAATATATTTGGCATGTTCGTAGGCTAATAAGTAGCGAGAAAAAATTTTTGATTTTGATTTTGATTTTTAATCCCAGATATTTGAAGTGAAAAGTGAAAAAAAAAAAAATATATATATATATATATATATATATATATATATATATATATATATATATCCTAATAAAATTTAATTACATTATTCTTGCCTCTTCTCATCCTCACACCTAGCAAAGAAGATGAAATTACTGTCACGGTTGGGTCTCCACCACATTGATTATGAAGTTGCCGCCTTCACAGTTGCAATCTATATAAGGCATTCATTCCGTGTAGAAACTAGTAACAGTATTATAAGAAGGTTTTTGATGAAGTTTTGAAAATCTGATGTATATAAGCAAGGGACTCTCATTTGAGGACGCTTTCAAAATGTTCAAAACCTGTGGTTACAACATGCTGGTGGAAAAGGAGGTTCAGTTTTTTCCATTTTTCTGTTATCTATTTGGATTTCTTCTTCTGTAAGTTTTTCGTGCAATTTTTTTAGGTTTTATTTATTGTTCTGATTAAGTGTTTCTCTTTTTCTAGGAGAAAATAGGAAAATTTTCAGGAGAATAAGATTATAAAATTCTTGGGTTTTACGTGAAATCCTCTTTCAGGAGTGATGGAAGCTATAGTGATAATGGTCATTGCTCTAGCTAATGTAGGAGTGAGCACTCATAGTTTCCTTTAATTTGTTCACATTTTTTTGCTCTTTTTTGAGAAATAATAAGTTTATTTCAGTTTTATTATCCCTAATTTAACCATTTTGAAGATAGAAAATTAAGTTTATATGCAAAAAAACTTCAATTAACTAATCTGATATTGATTTCGTAATATTTTTATAGAGGATTTTTGCTTTTAAAATTGCTGCCCCCCGCTCCTTTTCCCTCCATTTGTTTTTTTTTTTTCCCCTTATTATCAGTCTATTTATATATTTAATCTTTACAAGGAAAAACACCGAATTAGGAAGACATTGTTGGGATTATTACTTTTTTGGTGTTTCTTGTCCTTTTTGTTTGTTAGTTATATATATGGCTCTTGATTCATATTTCTTGTGATCTCTGAATTCTTATTGTTTTTTAACTTCATTTACTAGGGGGACAAGGAAGACAATTGATATTGGATAGCATGGATAAACGCCTACGATGACGAGCAGAGTGAGGCGTCACACGTCTACATTAGTCCATTGACCCCTATGAGCGCTCTACCTCTACACTAGACCGTCGATCCCATGAGCGCTCTACTTCTATACTAGATCGTCAACCCCATGAACGCTCTACGTCTACGCTAGACCATCGACCAGTCCAACACTTCGCCTAAAATCATTGATGAATTGATGGGATTCACGTAACGGTATCACGAGTACAACCAACGGGAAGTTGAAGACCCCCTCAAAACATTGGGGTAATGAAAAAGGGTGGGACACGTGTCATCGTAACCATCCAGCGTTCACCTGGCTTCAGACACCAATAAATACACCCAATGCGGGATAGGTATCTCTCAAAAAAAATTTGGCTATCCGAATTCCATCTTTGTTTTTCCTAACATCGTATACTGATTCTCACGTCAGAGGTAAAACGAGGGGAGAAAGCCCTGTCCTCATTTTTCAGGTAACACTAATTCATCGGAGTAGTGGGAACGCCTTGTGCCACCATGTGGACACGAAGGTATTGTTCCACAACTACTTCATTAGCATCGTTTGTGAGAACTCTTCCACTGAACACAAAAGCTATGTCGAGAAGGCGAACAAAAAGTGATATGCGCCTGAGGGCAACTGCGGTAGAGACCAAGTCAGTCGCGACGGGCCTCAACCCACCGCCACCACCACAGTATGTAACGTAAAGCCAGTTTAGCTATTTGGAAACCTAATTGGCAGCGATGATGACCCTTTTGTAGAATCAGACACAGAGTGCCATGCTCCCGTTCCCACACTCGACGGAGGCCGCATCACCACCCTAAGGGGCACATATAGAAGCCCCACCTATCATCCAGTCGATGACAGCGGGCTCGGGGGTGACAATCCTGCAGCCTTCATCGCTCATGGTGGTTCTGGAATGGAGGATGGAAGAAATCATGACACGGAAGATACATCATGCATTGTCCAGGAGGATGGATAAACGCAAGCATATGGTTTTAAAAGAAGATCCGTTCGCACATGAGATCATGATGATCCCTCTATCCAAGGGCTTCAAATAGCCTATGATAGAAGCTTACTACGGGATTACGGATCTACTTAACCACCTCTAGACCTTCGATGATTTAATGAGATTTTACATAGCACTTGATACAGTGATGTACCGATCCTTACTCGAACCCTCAGGAGGGAAGCTAGGGCTGGTGGCAACATTAGCCTCCCGTTCTGTCAGAATGTTTGATGAGCTCTCCAAGAGATTTTTGCCCTACTTCCTCAGTAGCAAGAGGAAGAGGAAAACAACCATTAGTTTGACGCAGGTCATCTAGGAAAAAGACTAATATTTACAAGAATACCTGGCCAGGTTTAGCTGAGCGAAACTTAGAATAGAAGACCTCCATATGTCGATAGTGGTAACTGTGCTGATAAACGGAACACGGAACTGAGCCTTTAAGATGTCAATTTTTAAAAACCCCCAGAGTCGATGCATGACCTATTGAAGAAGGGAGGCAAATGTGTTGATGTTGAGGAAGCAAAGAAGGTTGAAAAAAATCTCAGATAAGGATGGAGATAGAAAGTCACAAGAGAAAGGCAGGTGATGAACCAAGATTTATTGACAAAAATAAGCCAATGAATGAGCGCATAAGCAAGGGCGCCATCCAGGATCGACCGGTCAGGGAAAGGTGAGAGCAAGGTAAGGCATTCACCCCTTTAAATGCCCCGCACGCAAAGCTTTTGATGGACATACGAAACATGAAGGAGGTCAAATGGCCGAAACCAATGACGACGCCATTTAGCAAGAAAAACCAAGGCAAATACTATCACTTTCACAAGGATCACAGCATAATACTAAGGAGTGCCTGCAGCTAAAGGAGGAGATTGAGCGCTTTTGAGATGGAGGGCTTTTAAGAATATATGTGAAGGACAATCGGGGTAAAAAAAAAAAAAAAGTAGAGGATCGTCCCCGGCCCAAAGCTGGGGTAATAAACATGATCATGGGGAGTGGCAGCAAGTGAAGATCCTTCAAAGCCAAAAAATCGGCTATAACCCTTAACCGCTAAACCCAATGTCCGATGGTCAACATAGTCCAGGTGACTGGACAGAAAGCCTTCAAAGCCAAAAAATTGGCTAAGGGCCTTAACTGCTAGACCCAACACTCAAACAGTTGACATAGTCTAAACGGCTAGGCGGAGATCCTTCAAAGCCAAAAAAATTGCCTAAGACCCTTAATCGCCAGACCTAACGCCAGACAGTCGACATAGTCCAAGTGGCTAGGCGAAAAGCCTTCAAAGTCAAAAAATTGGCTAAGGCTCTTAATTGCTAGACCCTGCACCTGACGATCGACATAGCACAAGTGACAAAGCCTTTGAAATTGAAAAATTGGTTAAAGCCCTTGAAATCATTGGATCCAAGCCAAGGACACCCATAACAAAAGCCTTTTCCACAAGCTACCATGCAATTAAACAAGAAAAACAGTGCAAGAGAAAGCTAACTAATCATACACACTTAAGAGCAAAGCCCATACAGATGGAAAATTTAACATTGATAACAGTCAATAAAAAAGCATTCATATCCAAAATATATGATGACCTCCTGTCTACATCCCGAACAAGTAGGAGAAAATGAGATACATAATGATAAAAGGCAACAAAAAAAGAGAAAACTGCCAAAGGGCATACTACTAAATGGTACTTCAACTCGAAGGGAAGGCTCCTCCGCTACCGTCTTGCGACAAATGCCCAAAGACCTGGACGGATGCCCCCGCTCTCCTCACTCTTACACTGTGCAAGAAACTTATCAAAATTGGAGAGGTCAATAGAAGGATGCTTGGCTAATATCCACTCTTTGGCTAATTTGATGAACACCACCATCGCCTTCTCCTCGTATGAATGCAAAGCCTTGGCATAATCAGATGACAACTTGTACCGCTCTATGGAAGCCTCATCTAGCGCACGAGCCAAGACAGACTGCGGGTTGTCAATCTCTATCTCCTACTCGTGGGCTCAAACCTCCTAAACTTCAAAAAGACTTCTTTAAAGAAGATATCTTCTTCTTGTGATGGTGAACCTCTTTTTTCATATCTTCTACAAGAGCTTTCAATTCTGAGGCATGACGGTGGCTCGACTCAATAAGCCCGATCTGAAAGGCCACCACCTAGAGGTAAGGAGACAAAGTAGAAGACAAGTGTTAACCATGCTCGAAAAAAGAAGGTTCAACATAAAAGAAGATGTGGAATTAAAAGTGTACCCTCTGGGTGTAGATCGCCAAAGCTTTCTCAATATCATCAGTACTGCATCCCACAATCACTCTAACCCGAGCAGGTGTCACTAGAGATTGAAGTATTCCCATCTCATGATAGCCTTAGGTGGGGAAAAATCTGAAGTTAGGAAGCAAGCTCTCGCGCTCACACCTTGTACGGCTGGAAATACCTTCTTTCAACCCGAGTGGGAAAGCAACTTTAGTAGGCTCTTCCGAAAGCTGGGGTCTCCTTTACTGTGTGAGACCTCCCCTCACGATAAACTGTTTTCTTTTTCTTCAAGGGGACGGAGGATAGATCCGCATCGCTCTTATATCCATGCTATGGCATAGAGTCCGTAGTCTCATCCAGATCAAATTTCATGCCTACACACATAAGGAGAGACCCATCAAGCTCAAAGAACAACTAACAAAGATGCATAAAATACGAAATAAAAAAGGAAGAAAATGGGAGTGCTTAAGAGTTTACCATCAACCAACATGAGATCCTGGTCGCTACCTGGCGCAGATAAGATCTTTAATACATCATCAAGATCAAAGTCCATATCTACAAACACACAATCAATCTCATCAATCCCGAGGAATGGCAAGTAAAATATACGCAAATGAATAAATGGAAACTAGTAAGAAGACCCTACCAATAGGTCAACTAATCCTTACTTTTAACATGTTCCTCATAATCAAGATCGATCCTAAGTTAGGTGTAAGAGGTGGTGTACCAATCATTTGTTGAATTTAAGCTGTTAGAAGAGGGATGACCTCTACTTGACTATTGAAAAGGTGAATTTAAGGTGCCGCCAATTGGTATTGAAAGGAAATTGACCACCAAGGGCAAAAAAAAAAAAAAAAAAGAATTGGGATTTCCACCTGCTGTTTGAATTTCTAAAATTGGGAAAGCACAAGGGAACCCTAGTAGTGAAAAAGACAAATGCATTATATTGAACTAATTCGTGCATTTCAAAGATGTACCTAAAGAGATTTATAGAAAGTAGAACTTTTTGTTAAGGCAAATATACAAGAAGTATAGTGCCTTCCTCCATGTGTTGGGGTTTATCTAACTATGAATAAGGTGAAATTCATTGAAAATCGAGATAACAAAGGGGTGGATGGGGAACCAAAAACCACCATCCATAATGTCCTTATACACAGCTACCTCGTGGGACCAGGGGAGTCTTTCTTTGGGCCCGAGGGCTCTATAGACGTAATTGTCAACCCATTCAAATCTACTAAGGCATTTTTCCAATTTGAGTGGGGAGTTGTAGAGGCTATAACATTTAGGAATCTCAAGGATGACCATCTCCCCCCTTTGGTCCCATCCAATTTCTATATTTCAATCCAAGGACTTGTTGGAACTAATATGCCTTTTGGGAGGAATTGATTGGAATGCTAGAGTCTCATATAAATGAGTCGGACTATCGGAATCATGAGGGGATAAATCAAGCTTACCAGAGGAGTCGTCGCTCAGTCCTCGATCAGCCAGTTGGTCGTTGACCGACAGGTCCCTCCGACGACGGGTCAAATGTCACACTCATCCCATTATTTTTGCTTTTATCGAAAGAAGAAGTGATGATAGTTTTATACATGAAACAAAGGGGAGAAGAAAAACAAATTCAAAACTAAAGCTTGGAATAATGGAAGGAAGGAGGATAGTTACCTTGGTTGGGAGAATAGCTAGAGGATTGGAGGAAAGGAAACTAGAGAAAGGGCTCCATCTCTTTATATAGGCCAAAGATTTAAAAAAAATGGGGAGAAATTTCCCCTCCCAAAACTAAACCCATTTGCTGTGTGCCATGTGTATAGTATTGTGGCTACCCAACTCGACTTGAATTGCTTGACTCACTTATATAGAACTAATTATTTTCAAAAGATGTTAAAAAAATTCGAGAATACGAAGATGCTACCTCTTGCTGAAAAACATCTACAAGGGATACGAGGCTAGTGATATTGGATAACATGGATAACCGCCTACGATGACGAGCAGAGTAAGGCGTCACACGTCTACACTAGTTCGTCGACCCCATGAGCGCTCTACCTCTACACTAGACGGTCGACCCCCTATAAGCACTCTACCTCTACGTTAGACTGTCGACTGCTAGGAGCGTTCTACCTTTATGCCAGACCGTCGGCCAGCATCAAATTACCTATGTGGCTAATCTAACACTTAGCCATAAAATCATTGATTAATTGATGAGATTCTCGTAACGGCTATCATGAGTACAACCAATAGGCGGGAAGTAGAAGACCCCTCTCAAAAAGTAAAGGTAGTGAAAATGGCTACGTGGGACACGTGGCATCATAACCACCCAACATTTACCTGGTTTCAGGCACCTATAAATACACCAAAGGCAAAACAGGTATCTCTCAGAAAAACTTTGGCTATCCGAATTCCTTCTTTGTTGTTCCTAATACCATATATTGATTCTCACGCTGGAGGTAAAACAGAAGAGAAAGCCTCACTTGCATTTTTTAGGTAACACCAGTTCATCGGAGTAACAGGAATGCCCTATGCCACAAAGTAGACACGGAGGTATTGTTCCACATACGGTCACAGTTAACATAAATTTGGTCATAATGAGATAGATTTGATCGCTCACTACCATTCCCAACATTGGCAACGAAACGTATCTGCCTCACCAGAACTACTTGTATTACCAGCAACGGAACTATTGACACCATACCACACTATACCACACCACCACCAATACAACCTAACAACATTGCAACCGATGCCAACACCATGACAAAGACCACCATCTCCAGATTCAACAAAAATCGTCCCAACAGCCATATCCACTGCTATTGCCAACAATAAAAATCACTCATCACCATATCCAACAAAATCACCGCCTTAAAAACCACCCCCACCACACCATTACCATAGCTTGAAAAGATCTCATGCTTGATTGCTTGTGGTTTGGTGGCCTGCGTACGGGGAAAGTGAATAAGGCAACATAGCAATGTCCACTACATCCACTGTCGCCACCACTACCATACCATCATCATCTCCGCAAATCACCACCACCACATCTTCTTCTTCACCTCTACCATAAATATTCCCAAACAGGCAGTCATCGCACACGACATAGCGGCACTGTAGATCCCGTGTCAATTCATCCCCTTTTCATTACAGCAACACCGACAACTTCGATGCCATCTCTATCACTACAAATATTCCCAAACCTATAGCCACCGCCAACTATAGCCGCACACGACACAGTGACGATGAGGAAAAGATCGTCGTTAAGCACAAAGCAGCGGCGGCCATCGTCGTTGCTTTGTTCATAGCGACGATGCTAAGGCTTTGAAGAATTTGAGGTGACGGTCCAATTCTAGAGATAGAATGAGGGGAACACTAGAGAAAGAGAGATTGGGTGTGGTGTGTGGGAGCTTGGGGTGGGTAGGTTGAATTATTAGGAGTATATTTATATAATAATTTCTAATTACCACCTGAATTATGAAACTAAACTTAACCCCTCTTATTTATGAGAACTAGTTTTTAAACTCAGATTTCTATGTAATTTTCCTTAGAAAATATATTAAGGCTCTGAAAGCCCATTACAAGGAAAATCTACTATAGTAGGCTAGGCCCAATATGGTCGTGGGCTCTTGAAGCCTTACAGTAGAACTAGCCTATTCTCTGAAGTTGGTTTTAAATATGAGCAGAAATTGAAGCAATACGACTGCAAATCGCTTAAATATAAAAATTTGAACTCAAATCAACTTTTTGAATATATCAGTTAAATCAGTTTATTAATGGAAAAGTATATGAATACGGCATAATTTCCAAAGGATAGGAAAAAAATGTGAGATATGAAAGTTTCATTCTATACCGTAATTTACCCATATATAATTTACGATTTTGGTTCACTTGCAATTTATCGAGTCAAACATATTTTTATCTATTCATAACATATCCTATGCTGAAGTTGTAGAACGTCAAATTCCTCTTATAAATATAACAAAGTTGTCATTATATAAGATTCAAATTTTGAATTTATTTTATTCCTTTTCTAGTCAACGTTTTTTAGGTTGATTTTGTTCATGTTGTATAAATATGCAACAAATATTATTAGAGTCATAACCATTTGTTCATACATGGGAAAATGATGTTTTCTCATGTTAAAACACAATTTCTTTTCAAAATTAAATTA